ATTACAAGGTGTGATTGGCACGGCCCATGTTGACACTAGGCACACACATTTGAATGTATCAAAGTGCAGTCGTGTGACATTGTGTTGTGGGAGCTAGATAAACTGAGAATGTTCCTTGAACCATTATTGAACACATACATGTATAATAATAATAATGTTGTGCGTATGTCGTGCTTTTTATCAAAGTCTCAAAGCGCGTCACGATTATTACCCCTGTTAAAGATATAGTCCATCATTTGTAATTTGTGCATTTTGTCCGTTTGAAGCAACAAAAGTGCTCAAAATCTAAAGAATGGTACTGAACTACTAACCTGATGAAGTTTCAGCTCAGCTTCAGGTGTAAATTCCAAGAAAAACAGCATTCTAGGATCTCAATTTCAAATCAAAAGTTGCTGAATCATGTTTTGACTTGGACCTGAATTCAGTGTCCGAGACACGTTCTCACTGAGCCGATTGCATCTACGCAATGTCGCGCACTGATCCGATGAATTATAGCAACCGGGGGTGCGTGTGCCAATGCTTGCACGCGCTTCGCCGAATAACAAAACGAACTACTAATTTTAATTTCCTACAGTGCATCTTAAGAAGCACCGTTGGAAAGGTCTTCTTTCGTTGATTACTTCAAAATGACAGCTTGCCAGAAAGAATAATTTCACAGGGAGTTTAGTCACCTTACTGTCTTTCAACCAAGTATGTTTTTCAACAATAATTACGCCAGTTACTCTTCGGATAGCTGCAAATGATGGACTATAGCTTTAATCAGGCCAAGAGACCAGTTTCCTGCAACAGCTTAAGAACAGCGTAATCTGGTCTCCCCCTTCACAGAATCACAGGTACCCATTTATGCTCCTGGCTGGCTGGAGAGGGGCAATTGTAATAAAGTGTCTTGCCCAAGAACACAAGCACCCTGTTCCTAAGTCTGGTTTTGGACTCTGTGTAACCATAAGCCACTTTGCTCTATGCACCATATTCATTTCTCCAGCAAGATATTGCATGACTTTGACACGGCTACCGGTATATATAGTTGAAGACATGAAGAATTTTGACTTCTGGCAAAATTTCCGAAACTTGAAAAAAGTGCTTTAGTGTAAAATAACAAGGGAAGCATTACAAATTACAGCACAATTGAAATTACTCCAAATTGATGCCAACATTTTTTTCAAAAAAAAAAATTATTTCAACAGTTTTCCCCCCTCGGTCACCATAAGCAACTGCATACCTCTTTAAACCCCATGAGTGCAAAGCCACACCAAACCTGGACTCTGAAAGGCCAGACAGCCACTATCTCTCTCCCTTATCAGCCCATCCTCGGCACATACTTTCCCAGAATATCCTAGATAAGTGCGTGACAAAAATCGTTTCCAGATTCATTTGGTAGGCCTAGAGCAGTATGCATATCATTATTATACATGTACATGTAACAGCACTGAATTCTATGTAAACTGTAGTGCTTACAGTTTGTATTCATGAGTGTTCTTATTGAGTGTTCCTCTTCATTTTGCAACAGACAAACTTAACCCAAAAGTGCCTCTAAACCTGTTTTTCAGAGAGGGGTAAACCTAGTGTGGACATGGCTTAGTCCACAGAAGGTTTACACAACCTGCATCCTGTGGACCTGTTTTGTTTTCAGGCCCACACAAAGATGGCAAGGTTGGCACATGTAGTTGATGCGGAAACTTGCTTTGATTAATGCGCAGTAGGCCTGTAGACTTGTCAGAGTGTGATTGGTGCACTGAAGCAGTACATGTACAAAATGTACTTCTCACAAATTTGGTAAAAAAAGGCCGAATAAAAAAACCAAACATGTTTCTCGTTCGGGTTTTTGAAGAAAAAAAGGAGGAAGAGCGACTTTTTATTTTTTATGTTTTATGTTTTTCAAGGTGGCCGCCCTTTGAAATTTCCTGCAACCGTTGGTGTTTCCACTATTCAAAGTCACTTTTAAAATGAAAGACAAGTTTGACAAGAGAACTGAACATATTTATAGTGTCATTTAGAGTTGTATTGGTCTACAATGAACAGTTTTAGATGCATTTGCTTTAACCACTGAATTTGTGGACTTTTTACTGCATATTTCAAAAAAAATCCAGGCAGCCTCCAAAAAGGAAGCGGGCAGGGACGAGAAACATGTGTTTTTTTTTACTTCGCCTAATAAGAACATGATCCTCTTCTTATGCTGTTGTTGTCATTGGGCAGGGCAGGTTACCACAATTGTAGCTGTCTCCTTTGGTACAAATGGACATGTACAAAGGCAGATATTACAACATACAAATGTATAGTCATTGAAATTCACAGAAGCAGTTATCACATTACTGCTGGTCTTTCCCTTATGCCCTCCTGACAGCTTTCCCACTAGACCATCAATATTTTTCCCCTAATAGACATTTTGTCCCTGACCAAAAGAAAATTTGCCTTCGCCCTTGAGAAAGCAAGGACTCTGCCTGCTTAGACTCATGTTCACCTGAGCGGTTGTTTCTCAGGAATCAAGAAGAATGGTGTGTTCACTTAGTGATGAATTCACGAATGAATGAGATTGGAATTACACGATAAAAGCCAGCTAGAAATATAATTGTGAGCCAGGGTTGTGCCAAAAATTGGACTTGTCCTGAGAATGGTCGTCTGCTTTACAGATCTTCTGCAGGGGTCACTCACTTCTTGTCTCAGAAGAAACAAAAATAAGTGGGCTTTTAATTTACTAGGGGAAACAGGTGTAACATCTGCCAGATACTGTAGAGAGACTTTGGCGCAGATTAATTATGATTGACAGGTTATTATACCTCTCCGGCCTGGGTCCCCCGTAGTGGCAATTGGCTGAGTCAGACCCCTCGCTCAATCGCACAGAGTTGGAGATCCGCAAAGGTGTAAATTGAATACGAGATTGCGTGGGACCAAGGCCGGTGTTGCGGAATGGGTGCGCGTGTGTTTGCGTCGATATAGGGTAACACTAGCATGGATGATGCGATTGCATGTATCGTGTACCTGATGCAAATTTGTCACACACTAGCAGGATTTTGGTTGCGTTTTGTGCCAAGATGATGCAATGCAGTTCAGATGGGCTGCAAGTGGGCATTTTGTGGCATGCCTCAGACTGGTCGTGTATTGTGTACATGTACCGATAGTTGTGGCTTGAATCTATTCAAGTTTTCTCTACTCCTCACCCAGTCCCTACCCCTAGCTATCCCCATCCCCACCCCACTATCCATCCCCGTCCCCAACCCCACCCCACCCACCCTATCACAAAGACAGAGAGTTCTAAACATGGGGTTTTATTCTCACCCCACCCCCATCACAATGCTGTTATCCCCATCCCCTCAAATCCCCCCATACCCCCTCCCCCAATACCCACCCCCTCCCCCACAGTGTATTTGGGAGAAAGTCATGAGGGTTCAACCCTTTAGTGAAAACTATATTGTTTTAATTTTTTTCTGCAAAATGTAAAAAACATCCATTGTTAAAAATTAAGACATACACAGTACATATTAGTGTACCTGCTATAGTGCTACAAAAAGGCTAGACTTTAAGATATGAAAAAAAAATTAAACCAAAAACACAGTTTGAAAAAACCCCTAGCTTTTAATATCCCCCCCCAAAAAATTTTTTGAAATGAATCAAATTGTAAAAAGTAAGAAGTACCCACATCAAAATGGTCAGCCATAAAGATGTGAGAAATACATTGTAAGTTTGAGTGGTCAAAAACCAAGAGAGAATCTCTAATGAAAACGATTTTTTTCAAGATAATTCCCAGCCTTTCTCCAGACCATGTACACGTGTACAAGACACAATGTATGCGGAATCACCATAGAAACAGAACATACCGGGCCAGTGCCGTCATAACTCAAACTGCCACATCTTTCCAGAATTCACCGACGGTCGTCTGCATTTATATTCCTCATAAATTCACGAGTGAAGCACTTATAAATCTCTTCCATCACGCCAGTGTCTGCGTCCAGTCGAGTACAGCAAAGGGACCTCTGTCTGAGCATAATGTGATGTTTGTTTGCATTTTGCTCACACGACATTCCCTTGAACATGTATTCACACCAATGTGTTGTGTTTGATTTGTAAAATTGCAGAGCTGAAATTTCCCCACTGAAAATGTACAAAAGCTATGCATTCCCGTGAACCTGCACTAGTTATATAGGAGCACAAAGTGTTCTGTTTGATATGAAAACTGCAGAGCTGTGATTTTCCTCACTGAAAATTTACAAAAGCTACATGTATGTTATGTAAACGTACACGTACATGTACATTTATGTTGCACTGGTTAGCCAACATGTACAAGTTCATGTTCTTGTTAATTTCATTCACATTTTACATGTACAAGTAGTTTTTTCCTGTGGCCAGAAATGTAGAAAAGTCAAAAGTAAACCGCCATGATGGCGGACAAATTTACCATATCTGTTCTGCTGTTGGTCCGGTTGGAGCTCTCTACATGTGTATTTTGAGTTACGGAAGAGGGGTTGTGCAGTTTTTTTTTTTTATCCCTAACCCTCTAGGCCCTTTTGGCTAGGAACCGTCCTCAATCCTGCAAAATCCTCCAGTTGCCGCCATGTAAAAATTGGATTCAGCCTCACTCCTCCAAAATTATCTGTTATTTCTTAAATTTTTTCAGTAGAGGGGAGACCATTGCCGCAATCCTTCAAAATCTTCCAACAGTCACTGTTAATGGGTTGAGGCAGTGCCGATGATATTCAGAAGCAGTGCGGATGATATCAAGCATAATGCAGGGCTTAACTATGCATGGTTGAACATTTATCAATGCAGGGTACAGCCTACGAACTCGACACAATGCATCCTCCAAAATGAACCGACATTTTTTTAAATTCAGCATTAATCCTCCAAAAATCCTCCCAAACCCTCCAAAACCACCTGGAGGATTTTGTAGGATTAGGAAAGGTTAAGGTTAACGTTTGAATATTTATTCACATAACATGTACACTGATTTATAAATCACAAAAATTGCTTATAATTTTTGTACCACTTTTATTTTTTTCTTTGCACAGTGCGAATGCACCAGGAAGCACAGACAAACTCAGCGACACAGAAACAGAATCGGTCATCAGCTCAAGGAGAGGTAAACAATCCTGTTGTTTATGTTGTTTGTTTACATACATGTTGTTTATCCGAAATCAGTAAGAATTTCTTGTAATCTGCAAGAAAAGAAGTGTTGGGATTCAGACCTGCCTAACTGTGGATTTAACAATTGATTTTAGTCAGTGGCTTTTCGGTCTGGTTTTCAATTTGGTTTCTGATATAATTTTTTATTCAATTTTTTGTGTGTGCGGATATGTCAACAAATTTGTTTATTTACATACATGTTGTTTATCTGAAACCAGTAAGAATTTCTTGTAATCTGCAAGAAAACAAGTGTTGGGATCCAGACCTTCCCTTACTGTGGATTTAAAATTGATTTTAGTCGGGGGGGCTTTTCAGTCTGGTCTTCAATTTGGTTTTTGATATAATTTTTAATTCAATTTTTTGTGTGTGCGGATATGTCAACGAATGGATATATAATTTGATAAAGCTGGAATTTACATACACCAGGACACCGATGCATTGTTTAGAATCTCCATTCTGTCTCCAAAGCTTTATGCTGAAAATTCTCTTCTCCAGCTAAAGGCTTTTTTTTTTTCAAAATGAGAAAAAAAGAAAGAATTGTGTCAAGTGTTGTGGAAACGTGCCAACTGTCTGCAGTTAGGTGCTAGAAAATCAATCGTGGGCTCTTGAGAGTGTCCCAGTTCGTCTGCTCGTCTGAGTCAGATAAGAATCTGGTGGAGAGGTTTTGAGTCGTCCGTGTGGGCCGCGCCAGAGCCATGCATTGCTTTTGGCTTTGTTCTCTATTTTGTGTGTGTGTGTGAGTTGTTAGACATTCATGGTTGTCAGTTCATGTTCTGTTTGAATGTCTTTTTTGCTATATTTCATGGTGAACTGTTTCGGCAGTCAGCTGATACAGCTTTTGTTTTTCTGCAGATTCCCCCTTCCTTTTTTTTCTCCTTCTGATTGTACATTTTTAAATTGTTCTCGCAACTCCGGGCACCTTTTATCAATTCAATCAACTTCAAACATGTTTGAAGTTGATTGAATTCATGTTTCGTAACCCAAATTTCATGTTTCATGTATCGTGACCCAAATACTGAGGACTGTAATGTTTGCTGAGGTGTACATTACAAGTCTCGTTTGAAATTCGGGACCCAGATATGCAAATTTTTCGGGAAACATGACGGCAATCATCGCTGGCAAAACAATCCTGAGTGCCTCTGCCAACCAGAAAAAAGAAATCTGGTGTGTTTTTTATTTTGAGTGCGTAGAAGATACATCGGTGTCCGTTACACGCCAGACTGGGCCGTTCTGCCCCGGAGCGTACCTTAAACAATTCAGCTCATCCCATTGGTTGAAACCCGAGCGCGCTTAGAACCGTGGGCAACTTCACAATTAGGGCTCAAAAGGGGCACATTAAAAAAAGAGGGGATAGATTTTGATGTCATACGATAGCCGGCAACATACTGGACACCAATATGAGGAAAAGAGGAGGGGGGGGGGGAATTGGGGGGGGGGGGGAAATTGGGGGGGGGGGAATGTGAAACCCACATCAGCAGAGTCTGAGGTATGATGTGTGACCCGTGAAAATAGTGGCAGTGGCCATCAGAATTAAAAGTTACGTTTGTGAACAGTTGGACCACTTTTGACAAAATTGTCAGTCACGCCATATTTTGAAAGTTTCCCTCCTTACTTGTCCAAGAATCAAGTATGCACAAATCTAAACCTTTTGTTCATTTTTAAAAATTATCAAATTACGTTAAAATTATCAAATTACATTTTTTTAAATTAGCAAATTACATGTGCATGTACGTGTTCAAACTAGCTGATGAAATAAGCCTTTTTTGCACATACAGTGCACGTGCGCACATCATGATTCACGATTTAGTTTCCAGAAATAAACAACGCACCACACCGTGCAAAATTATAGCCGGGTACCAACGCAATCAAAGGAAAGATCTTGTTTTGAAACTACTTGTACAATACAAAATTTTTATTTAAGTACATGTATTTAATATTTGAATGAATTTACACAAAACCCTGTAAATTGTGGTTTTGCCCAGCCTGCAAAACAAAACCTTTTTTTAGAAGTGGCCTTTTATTGCCCAGAATAAATGAATGTTTTTGGACTGAAGGGGAGTGAAAACAAGAGAAGCTTTCAAAGTATCGGATGTCCCCAGACTAGTTAGGCGATTGAGTGATTTGGCTGTACATTGGCTGTACATTGGTTGTTGCCCGGACGATTGATATAGCCAGATTTGCTGCTGGATTCACAGGGATTACCAAGATTCAGCTGGTAAAATCAATCATCCGTTTCAAGTGTAATCAGAGCTTATTTTTGTCTTCCCTTGATCACCTTTGTCGAAAACATCAAAGCATGATGACTAAATACATGTGTTTCAGATTTTTTTTTGGGGGGGGGGGCCAAAAGGTCCATTTTTCATAGCCTTGTTTGAAAAATTGGTGGACAGATCTTTATGCCAATTATAGTAGGCTTGGACTATGTTCCAATAATACCGGATATGATATTTTTTTATGTCGAACAATACCGAATGATGGTATGGAAATTTATTTCCGCAATTTTCCCTCTTTGTGTACAAGCATTACATTCACTTGTGTGGACTTCTGAACAAAAGAGGTCCACATAAACCAGGAAGCAGCGACGTTGTGTGGACTTGCCCACGTCCACACAGTGTTTCCCCCTCTCTGGAAAACAGCTTTAGAGGCATTATTGGGTTAGGTTTTCTGTGGCAAAATGAAGAGAAACACTAAAGGGAATCATAGAATCAAAAAATTGGTTGAAAGAGTTTTCACAGTGTGAGTAAAATGATTTTTTTTCACAGGTTTTTCTTAACTACACGAAAACAAAGGAATGTCCACACTACGTATGTAACATAAACATTGTGTGTTCCTATGTGTGCAAAAGCCGTTTTAAAAAAGTTACAGAGACAACTTGGTGAGATCTGCACTACAATACATGTGTGGAGTGGTCATCGTGTCTAGATAAGGTGAAAATTGTGCATCAGACGCATAAACTAAGATCATTACTTCAACTCAAACTGCAGGCTTGCCACATGCTACATGTACATGTCACAATGTTTAAAGCCCGAGTCCATCATTTGCAGCTATCCAAAAAAGTAACCTGCGTAATTATTGTTGAAAAACATACTGGTTGATAGATAGTAAGGGGACTAAACTCCCTGTGAAATTATCCTTTCTGGCAAGCTCTCATTTTGAAGAAATCAACGAAAGAAGGCATTTCCAACGGTGCTTCTTAAGACGCACCGTAGGAAAATTTAAATTAGTAGTTATTAGTTGTTATTCGGCGAAGCGCGCGCAAGCATTGGCACGCACACGCACCCCGGTTGCTATAATTCGTCAGATCAGTGCGCGACATCGCGTAGCTGCATTCGGCTCAGCGAGAACGTGTCTCGGACGCTGAATTTAGGCGCAATTCAAAGCATGATTCAGCAACTTTTGATTTGAAATTGAGATCCTAGAATGCTGTTTTTCTCAGAATATACAGCTGAAGCTGAGCTGAAACTTCATCAGGTTAGTTGTTCAGTATCCTTCATTAGATTTTGAACACTTTTGTTGCTTCAAACGAACAAAATGCACAAATTACAAATGATGGACTATAGCTTTAACTGCTGCAAGTACATGTACATGTACATGTACATGTACCTTCCATGTACCGGTATGAACAGTACATGGAGATCCGCTGTCCTGTATGATAATGATGTGATAGAACCAATGCTAGTTTGACCGAGGTTACGATGATAAGTTGAAAAAATACACATGACCAAGACCAACATGTAACAGAATGGGGATGGTCCGGAAGAATTCTCCCATCCCTTCAAGGCACATTCCATTAGTTTCTCAAGAAAAAAAAAAAGCTCAATTGGTGGGTCTGTATAATGAATGGTTGGGAAGCTGGGTCGGCCGTTACCTCCCCAGAGGGGATGCCCTGCCCTCACCCTTCTTCATTTGTCACTGGAAAAGTATTCCTCCTTTAGGAAGCTTGATGGGGACTGTCATGCAGGAACACCCCTTGTGGTTGGATGGAATGGTCGTGGAGACTGTGGAATGGTTTGATGAGGAACAGGTTCTTTTGATGTTAACTTTCAAGGGACATTCCAAGGCATTAATTAATTAACCCTAGCCTTCCCAAATCCTACAAAATCCTCTTTGCAAAATGGAGGATGTTGCCAAAAATTAATGTGCGGCTGATTTTGGAAGATGCACTGTGTCAATGTCTTGGGCCAGACCTTGTGTTGTTTATGCTCAGCCGTGCATAAATTTAGGCCTAGATTATACTTGAGATCCTCCGCACTGCTCCAGGATGTCACTGGCTCTGCCTCAACATATTATGACAGTGATTGGCGGAGGATTTTGCAGGATTGAGGCAGTGGTCACCCCTCCAGTGACCACATTCAAGAAATAATGGGTGATTTTTTAATGTAATTTTCACATGAAGGCAGATGGAGAATTTTGCAGGATTGAGGTTGCATCCTAGCAAAAATGCCTAGGGAGTTAGGTTTGTACATGGCGTCCCCTCATAGGACACCTTTTTGGCTTAAGGAGTTAAGACAAAAAAGTTTCCCATTTTGTGTTAAGTCATCATCTTAGCAACAAGCACAGTCGGCCCTGTCGGGGTTCGGACCTGTTTTATAGATTCCCTCTCTCATAGTCTGATTGTTGTACAAGTTAAGTGTGTTAGCATCAAGTGAATTGATACAACTTAACGCATTGCATTCTTAACTGGGATCTTCTAAGTTAAATTCTCATCATGATACGCTGTTTAAAACTTGTTCGCATGCTGGCAAAGTCAGCAGAGCCATCACAGCAGTCAAAATCAATCAGGTGACTGTTTTTAACAGTTACAAATGTAAGTACTCCCTGCCTATACATAAAGCAGGATTGGCTGGCTGTGACTGTTTATGTTACTTGACACAGCTTTGCCTTGACTGTAGGAGATTGATCAAGCCAGCTGTACCTACCAGTTACTTGCTTTTGTCTGTTGATGGAATTTGACTAGTCACAGTGCCTACAAGAAATGTGATCTGAGTGTTTGTGACTAGCCTGTGCATGAAGGCATGGCAGGGGAGAGGATTGATTTTCTGACTGTCTGTGACTGTTCAGACAGCAGGAGGGTTAATGGTCCTGGAGTCTGCGTCTGCGCCCAGAGGAAACAAAAGACAATGAGGTGGAGATAGAGTTGTGAATGCAGCTGTTAAGGCTTTGGCAACCCGTTCTGAGCCTCTGTTGTTGTCAGGTGGTACAGGGGTGACAGAGGGTCACATAAACTGTGAGAGAAGCGAGATCTCTTAAATGAGGTGTGAGGAAAAACAGGATGGCAGCTCGTGTAGGTCTAGCGCCGACCTCTGAACTTGTAGGCATGTTATGAGGGGTCTTACATGGACAGCCGAGAAAGCCAGGGATTTAAACTGTTGGTAAACTTCATGGGTTAGACAAGTGAGATCCTGAATCATGCATGAGAATCAAGACTTAGGCCCAGAGGCGTTACTTGGTGGGGGATGTGATACTCCCACACCTACCAGTTCATATTCCTTGGAAGAACTGTCATTCTTGTCGGCAAAATCGGCTAACGTTGATAGCGCCATCTAGTATCAGATTGTGTCCAACCACGTTGACCATAATTGCACAAACCAAATTCCTTCCTTACTGTGAAACATGCTTGCCAGTTGGCGCAGCATTTTCTGCTATAGTTACAATTCTTTGTTTATGTTGATCAGAGCAGCGAAATGGGACATACACATGGAGGGCCTTTGGTGCGTGGCTCTGGGCGTATTGAGGGCAGTACATTGGATGTCAGAGGAGTACATGTTGCTGTATACATGTACAAGTACATGTATACACGGGCAGGCTTCAATCAGGTGCTCTTAAAAAAATATTGCCAGTTCATGTCACCCTCAGTCAGCAATTCAATACATTCAGACAATCATCAGAATCACTTTTATTACCAGTGAGCCAGCTTTTTATGAATGAAATTCAAAGAGCAATACTGTGTTGAAGTATGTATGTAATGCATTATGTGCAGGAACAATTTACATACACATAAGGACATGTTTCCAGAGGGAGGAAGCACAGCAACTCCCACAGCATGTCACCCTGGCTTGTCAGATAGCCATAGCGCCCTCTGCTGGTGAACCTGTGTCATGCAGATTTATTCCCAGATGTGTAAACACTGCATTGTTGACCATTCACAAACCAAATAGCGTGACTAATCTTTTCTTGTGAAAAAACTGACATAAATCACGTACATCGTACATGGAACGATGTTCCTGACCATGTATTTCACATGTCAAAACCATCAATTTTTTATTCCAGAATTGAAATTGCAAAATTACAGTAATATACCAGTAGCATTTCCAAATTTAAAGAAATCATGTTTGTACATCACTACATGGTACATGTACATGTACATAATGTATTCAACTTGCAAAATAATAAGCTTTAAAGCATTCTTCTCTAACTTATTTCTGCTACCTCTCGAGTTAACCATCAAAACTGACTTTAGCCTTTTGTCAACATGTTATATGTCCTTTGTAAGCAACTTTTTGTACTTCATAGTCAGTTTTCTTGTTCTTGTTTAAAAGAAATTGTAAAGTTATCATTGATATTACTTTACCACAGAGCATATTACAAGGAAGTCTTGCATTTTGGTGATTGGATTTATTTCTGTACATTCATTTCCATGATTTTTTTGTTTTGTTTCGTTTGTTTCTTTTTTGGGGTGGTCTTATAAGAAAAATCACTTGGTTATGTAAACCAATCTTGGCTGGTTAGTTTGTAGAAAATCCAGTTTATTCAAATATTGAGGTACATGTAAATCATGTATGAATTAAAAAAAATTGTAAGATGCTGCTTGCTTATGAATTCAATTTTAAAAAATGAATTTAGTTTTAAAAAGGATGGTTAAACAAGAAGGGACAAATACCGGTATCTTCCTTGACTTCTTGTTTGTTATTTTCAACTTATTAACTTGGATTGATTAACTAAAGGTTAACAGATGAATCAGTAACCGGTGCATGTGACTCAAATGTTACATAAGCACAGGCATCAACTTCCTTGCTTTTAACTTGGATCTGTTAACTTGGATTGATTAACTAAAGGTTAACAGATGAATCAGTAACCGGTGCATGTGACTCAAATGTTACATAAGCACAGGCATCAACTTCCTTGTTTTTAACTTTGATCTGTCAACTTGGATTGATTAACTAAAGTTTAACAGATGAATCAGTAACCGGTGCAAGTGACTCGAATGTTACATAAGCACATGCATCAACTTCCTTGTTTTTAACTTGGATCTGTTAGTTAACTTGGATTGATTAACTAAAGGTTAACAGATGAATCAGTAACTGGTGCATGTGACTCAAATGTTACATAAGCACAGGCAGCAACTTCCTTGCTTTTAACTTGGATCTGTTAACTTGGATTGATTAACTAAAGGTTAACAGATGAATCAGTAACCGGTGCAAGTGACTCGAATGTTACATAAGCACAGGCATCAACTTCCTTGCTTTTAACTTGGATCTGTCAACTTGGATTGATTAACTTAAGGGTTTCTGTGTTTTTTTAAAACCCGGATTGATTAATCCAATAACTGGTGCATGTCCTTTTCTGTAACCTTAGGGAGACACCAAAGTTCAAGGAGGGACAGACATCATAATGATTGTAAGTTTTTCTTTTTTTTCTTTTGATTTTGTTTTGTTTTAGTCTGGGATTCAGGTCGTAGATTTCTTGTCATTTTAGTTTGGTGTCATTCCATAGATGGTTAGTGCTTTGTCATTCTGCACCACATTACATTCATCAAGCATTGCTGTTGAAAATAAAATGTACCTTATATTTTTCTGTCATTTTTTGTCATCTACGCCTTAAATTTGAGAGTTTTTTCAAACATTTCTTTTACTGGTTCTTAACCCTAACCCCCTAGGCCCTTTTTGCTAAGAACCATCCTCAATACACCAAAATCCTCCAAAATTTTGCAACTCTGCCTAAATTTTTCAAAATTGTGAGACAGTCCTGCCTCAAAATGCATTCATCGTCAATCCTCCAAAATCCTCCTCATCCCAAAATTTTGCACTCGTGTTTAAATGAAGGATAACCAACGCCAAATCCTTCAAAATCATCAGACAGTCCTGCCTCAAAATGCATTCATCCTCAATCCTCCAAAATCCTCATGGGCTTCAATCACCATTCATCCTCAATCCTCCAGAATCCTCATTTGATTCAATCACCATTCATCCTCAATCCTCTAGAATCCTCCAAAACTGCCAGGAGGATTTTGGAGGAGTGAGGTGGGTTAGGGTTAATGATCAATTTAGCCAGAGACACTTTTCACAAAGAAATGTTTGTACATGTTTGCACTAGCACAACACAACATGCACATGTAGCTGTATTTTTTCCTGGCCATAGACCTTATGAATAGCAGCCATCTTAGTGGGCAACTTCTGTTATTTTTCATTCGATAACAGTGAATGCACGAAAGGTTCACTCCAGCAAAACAAAGATGGCTGCTATGCAAAAGGTCTATTTGTTTGACCATGTTGACTCACTGGAACGTGTTTGATTGAATGCTTTCATTGCCACATAGCACATGTTACACACACAATCTCTATTTTCCCCACCACCATTTCATTAATACCATAATTTATTCCATTTTTGTCCGTCTCACATTCTGGTATCATTCGGGCTGCTTCATGAAATGACAATTTCTCTTTCTTGCATTTTCATTGGTGTCATAAATCTGAAGAAACAAAATAAGTACATGTAAATAATCTGTGAGATTGCACACTTTGCACTGTTTTGTGGCAAGCACTGCATTTCACTGATTGTGGAAAAATTAAATGAACGCTAATAATTCTTGGAAATTGTTCTTCTTGAAAAAAAGTGTGCTTCACTTTGTTTTCTCTCATTTCATCCTCATCTTGGAAAATATCTGTATATATGCCACTTTCTTTTGTGATAAAATAAAACTACACAGAAATTGGAAAAAAAAATCTTGAAATACAATTTTAATTCAAGCCACCACCAGTAGCACAAAAAAAAACCCACATCTTTTGAGGACAAAAAAAACTTAAAACGATTTCTCAAAGGTCGAAACCAAATAAACACAGACAACAAAAGCGTCTTAATTTTCAAATTTGCATGCCAAACAAAACAAACAGGAATATCGGATCACCGGGTGTCGCCAAATGGGCACCACGGGCGACAGCTGGTCTGGTGGTCATCTGAGGTCACCTGGGGTCATGGCAAGTTAAAATTTACCTTCCCTCCCCCCCCCAAAAAAAAGCCACACTAGTGTTTTCAAAGTATAGGATGTGCAGGAGTCATTAAAAAAAGTACAAATGGTCTTGTGCTTTGTTTAGGTCAGTGAACTGAACTCGAAAGTTTTTTATTTTTTTATTTTTTTTTTTACAAAGTTTTGCTATAGGAAATGCAATGAATATTTGTGTTTATTCTGTTATTTTTCTTGTGGGTTGGGGTGGGTGGGGAGTTTGCCCTTGTTTGATAGACATCTTCAGGCATTTGGGTTAATTAAGGAAATTGGTTTGCCTTTGGGTTGTTGTGGTTTGTTGACAGCAAATACATACCACATCACAAGGGCATTGTGTACCATGCATGCATGTGTCTCTTTCTAATCACATCATGAGAAAGTTTCTGTAGGCAAGTTGAAAACTGGGACAGGGTCAACAGGTACAAGTACCTGTAATTTCCAGAAAGGTGAGAGAACCAAAATTGCCCCATCCCCCTTGAAGTTTTTCAAGATGGAATGGATAAAACAGTATCCTACATTTTTACTTTTCTGATAAGTTTAACAGCTTGCACAGTGACTAAAATCTTCGATTGAATTTCATACAATTTATCAAAATGTTGCCTTAGCTGTTGGCCAGTGTTTGCTTGTGCTGTATATCCACCAGCTTCAAGCGCATGTTATAGGTCCGCTTTATGGGATCTGTACAATACGTGAACAAGAGAGGGCGCTCTTTGACCACTTTCGAGAGCACCATGGACGGGACACTCCTCATTTGCCTACTGGTTCACATGCATATAGTACAAAGTACAATTACTTTTTTTTTTCTGAAAGTACACAAAGCCATGTCTTCGCGTGAGCGTCAGGCGTTGTCGGGAATGCGTTCGATTGTCTCTCCCAGTGGTCTCCCCCAACTCTCCCTTTCTTACCGTTGAGGGGGTGCTTGTGCACGGAGCCCATACCGCCAGTCACATTGAATTGATTCAAAGGCCACATCCGGATCTCTTGTCTAGAGCTATTGGCTAGGTCTTGGCCCCATAATACCTGTGTGGAAATGTGATGGCAATAGACCTAGCCGTAACTCTGAAGAGCCGTTTCTGACATGGCCAAATTTTGTTTTCAGTAAATTGTGTGCAAGGATTTGCTGCTACAAGTGTATGGCTACCAGCCAAACTTTACTTGGTAGTCCGTGTTTACAGCCAGTGATATCTGCCTAGAGCGAGTTTCCCCACATGAGTAACCAGTCTAGCTGGTTCCCATGTTTCCCATGCAATGCGGAGTGCGTTGTAAGAACTGTCACATGTCCTTAGGGTGAGCCACTGACTAATTGAAGCCGAGCGTTCTTGATCAACCTTGTGTCTCACGCCTGGTGAGCAACGATTACCGGCACAGCGGGTCTAAAATGACATGTACCAGGGATGCGGTGCCGATCAACGGTGCCATACCGGAGTGGGGTAGTCATACATGTACATGTAGTTTACGTCACATGTAGGTATATTATTCCTATATGTCTGTATGTACATGTACATGTACATGTACATGTACATCAAGTGCATATTGTACAACATTTGCAGAAATCAAAAAACAAAACTACAAAATTATTGTGAAATACCTTACTTAATTGTACAAGTGAATAATAGTCTCAAGCATCCTGTGAAATCATGGCACCTGGTGTGCTGTCATTTTCAAGAAAAGTAGAATTTTTGTATCGATTTCTCAACCATCGTTGGAAAAAACACTGACTTTTTTTCTCAAGTACTGCCCTCAATTTTCCAAATTTAGTTCTAGTCCACATTTTGTTTGCAATCGGTTTACACATCTGTATGTGAACAGGTGTAAGCCAACTTGTCTGGTTCCCTGACCTGACAATTCCTCGACGTCTATAAACTGCTCTGTTTCATCTGAAGTAGTGTCAGAGAACCAGACTACAAGAACAGCATTTCTTTCCTCAGTTTTTCCATCATCTATGAACACAAAACTTTAAACCCGTCAGTTTAACAATATTTGTCGATAAAATACTAACCGCAAAATCCATCCATTTCTGAAAATTACAGCAAAAGCATATGTTGTGTATTACGGTACCTTCAATATAGTCCTTGAGTGAGCCCTCTCTTGGATGAGAAATGTTTTGGACGTAACTCAAACCAAAGACACAGATATGTGAAGACATTTACATGTACTAAAAAAAAATTGGGGGGGGGGGGAATTGTTTACCTGACTGTCCTGTGTACAGCATGTTTTAACAATGATGAAAAGCAGTCTCATTGATCAGGGTTTGAATCCTGTTTCGGTCAATTTCAGTCACCCAAAAAAAAAAAAATAAAAGTTACATTCTGAATCTGATTATGAAAGGTTGGGGTTCTCAATTTTGATCCTTTTGAGATTTTCAAGATGGGTAATAAAACACAGATGTTCTGTCCGGATTCATTGTCCGTCAAATTTCTTTTGATCGTAAATTTATTCCAACCGAATGTCTGTCACAGACCTACATTGTTCCAATATTTGTGTTTATAAAATCAGGATCAATTTCCCAAATGGTTTCCTTCCAGGATCGTCCTGCATGAATATATTCATGATGGGGGCCGGCCTTGTGGGTGGCCCCTACACATGTATTTGTTTTGGCCCTCTTAACAGCAGAGTGTATTGTCAGTCAGGCCTGTGTACTGTATGTGTGGCAGTACAGCATGTGTGTATGCATAAGGCCGGCGTATTTTAGCCACAGATTGCTGTTTCTGTATAGCCTTGGAAGTTTTTGACAAGTGTTGGGTTTACTCTTGGCATTGTGAGGATGCGGAGTGGTGACAGGAAGTCTGGGTGTGGAGAAAGTGACGACTATCACCTATCTCTGCCATTGGATCAACAGTGAGGATGGTTTGGGAAATTGCGTAAATTCTCGATAGTGTCATTTGAAATTCTGGTTTGGAGAAAGTGACAACTCTCAGCTATCTCTGCTATTGGATTGACAGTGAGGATGGGTTGGGAAATTGTGTAAATTCTCGATAGTGTTAGTTGATGTTCTGGTTTGGAGAAAGCGACAACTCTCAGCTATCCCTGCTATTGGATCGACAGTGAGGATGGTTTGGGAAATTGCGTAAATTCTCGATAGTGTTAGTTGATGTTATGGTTTTGAGAAAGCGACAACTCCCAGCTATCTCTGCTATTGGATTAACAGTGAGGATGGTTTGGGAAATTGCGTAAATTCTCGATAGTGTTGGTTGATGTTCTGGTTTGGAGAAAGCGACAACTCTCAGCTACATGTTTCTCTGCCCTTTGGATCAACAGTAAAGATGGTTTGGGAAATTGCTAAATTCTCAAAAATCTCCTTTGGAGTTCTGGTGTGGAGAAAGCAACTGCCGTAAGCTATTCAGGCACGGTGTTCATAATTTCAGTCAAAAATGTGGAACTGTGCTTTGGGAGTCAT